AAACTTGAATGGAAGTTGGAAAAGAAAATTCAAATCAAGTTCTGGACTTGGGCTGTATCTTATAAAAGATTTTGAAAAAATATTTTAAAACATCCTTGGCTTAAAGGAGACGAGGGGATGTAGGATAAACGGAGATACTGGCTCGGATTGGATACCTGTTACATTAACAGAGATTTTTGTAAAGAAAGCAAAGACACAATTTTCACATTTAATACCTGATTTTCATATGTAATTTTCATTCAAAACTATTGTAGCTGGATATATGGTTTATCCTGAGATTTATAATGAAATTTTGTGCAGAATATTTCTTCCTTTGACACCTTTCGCTTAAAATGCAATTTACTATTACTTTCAGACGTCAAGTGGAAAAAATTCCAAGGAAAAAAAAATTTCCAAAAAAAGTGGAATAATTTTTATTAACAAAAATTGATGCTAGTTTTTCAGGATAAATATTCTTTATACAAATTTCTTTTGTTCGGAGACCCTCAATGAAATTTGATATAGAATAATTCTTCCCTTAACACTTTCCTCAAAAAATGAAGTAAAAACGAAGATGTTGCCTTAGATTGAAAAATTGTTTCAATTAACAGCAAAAAAGCCAACACATAATTTTCACTTGTAGTAGCTAAATTTCGAATGTAATTTTCATTCAAAACTATTAGGCCTATGGTTTATTCTGAGATTTATAGTGGAATTTTGTGTAGAATATTTCTTCCATTGATATCTTTCATCTAAAATGAAATTGTAAGGGTACTTTCAGGCGTCAAATCGAAAAAAAGTCGGAGGAACAATTGATCAAAAAAAAATAGAGCTTTTTTATTAACAAAAATCAATTCTATTTTTTCAGGATAAATGTTAATTATACAAATTTCTTTTGTTCAGAGACCCACAATGAAATTTGATATAGAATAATTTTTCCTCTAACACCTTCCCCAAAAAATGAAGTAAAAACGGAGATTTTGGCTTAGATTGAAAAAGTGTTCAATTAACAGTAAAAAAAGCAAACACATCATTTCACTTGTAGTACCTAAATTTCGAACATAATTTTCATTCAAAACTATTATACCTGGGCGTATGGTTTATTCTGAGATTTATAGTGAAATTTTGTTAACAAAATCTCTTTCATTGACATCTTTCATCTAAAATGAAATTGTAGGGTACTTTCAGGCGTCAAATCGAAAAAAGTCCAAGGAAAAATTGATCGAAAAATTAGTGTTTTTTTATTAACAAAAATTGATGCTAATTTTTCAGGATAAATATTCTTTATACAAATTTCTTTTGTTCGGAGACCCACAATGAAATTTGATATAGAATAATTCTTCCCTTAGCACTTTCCTCAAAAAATGAAGTAAAAACGAAGATTTTGGCTTAGATTGAAAAAGTGTTTCAATTAACTGCAAAAAAGCCAACACATAATTTTCACTTGTAGTAGCTAAATTTCGAATGTAATTTTCATTCAAAACTATTATACTTAGAGATATGGTTTATTCTGAGATTCAAAGTAAAATGTTGTGTAGAATATTTCTTTCATTGACAACTTCTGCCTAAAATGAAATTTTAATTTACTTTCAGGCGTCAATTCGATAAAAGTCCAAGAAATTTTTTTTCCGAAAAATTAGAGATTATTTATTAACAAAAATTGATGCTAATTTTTCAGGATACATATTCATTGTACAAATTTCTCTTGTTCGGAGACCCACAATGAAATTTGATATAGAATAATTCGTCCTTTGATACTTTCCCCAAAAATGCATTAAAAAAGGAGATTTTGACTTAGATTGAAACAGTGTTAAATTAATAGTAAAAAACGTAAACACATAATTTTCACTTCTAGTACCTACACTTCGAATGTAATTTTCTTAAAAACTGTTATATTTAGAGGTATGGCTTATTCTGAGATTTCTAGTGAAATTTTGTGTAGAATATTTCTTCCATTGACAACTTCTACCTAAAATGACATTTTATGTTACTTTCAGTCAACTCGAAAAAAGTCCGATGAAAAAATGAACAAAAAATTAGGGAATATTTTCGGCTTTTTTTTGGAACATTAAGGCACTTATATTTTCCAGTAGAAATAGAGATTTCTTTTCTTTGGAGACTTATGGTAAAATTTGATGAAGAATAGTTTTGTCTTTGAAGTCGTCCTTCTAAAATGACGCTATGTTGGAGATTTTTGCCCAAACTAATATAAAGTATGATTTTAACCATAAAACGTGTTTTTTAATGTATATTTCAATTCCTGGCGTTTAGGTAAGATTTGGACTGTTGACGTCTTCTAGGACCTATAGTAGAATTTTATGGCAAATAATAGAATATTTTGACTTGCTACGGTCCTGTTTAAAGGGAGTTTTTAGGCATATTTTTAAAAATGTACCAAAAAACAAGTAAGCAAAGGCTACAGTCGAGCGGGGCCGACCGTTGAATACCCTACAACACTATAATAACCGATACAGTTTATATAGGCGAGATACTCGAAAGAATTCCACAAGATATTGTGACAAATAATAAAAGAAAACCATCAGGTTTCGTTCTCTAATTTTCGAATAATAGCAACTTTAACTAATTTGCTCATTTCCAATTTATTGGTAGATGTTGCACTTAAATGGTCCTCCTAGATCTGGAACCAATATTTCCCAAAGACCTATAATCTGTGGCAAAATATTAACATTAATTATTGGTTTTTGACTGAAACGCATCTATATGAGATACAGACATTTGACTTTATTCTTCAATGAAATAAGCGTTAACGAAATAGTCAGAAGTGCGTCTTTACTGTCTTTGTGAATTCTCCAAAAAGTCACTGGAGTGGACATTTTCGTATTTTGTCTACAAAAGTTGGCAAACTCCTTCACACATTGAATATTTTTGGATGGCCATCCAAAACTACTTGGCTTTTGCAATGTCCGGTAACCCCCATTCAAATGTGCGTGAGGATCGGGCGATAATTACGACCTCCTGACAATTTTGTAGTTTTTGGTCCATTTCAACCCCTAAATATATGGTGATCATCTCTAAAAAGGGTAGGCTTCTATTCTGACCCTCATCTTATCCCCATGCAAAATTTCGCAAGGATCGGGCCATAAATGCGATCTGTATATGATATCCTGATATCCTAACTACTTAGTTTTGTTAGCTGTAGAAATATTACCAAATGTTTAATTCAAAATGAAAATATGCCAAAAATATGACATAATTGAAAAAATATGAGAAAATGTTACAAAATCAATATTTTCATCTTCAGAGAGATATTTGTATGCGTTTTTTAGACGTTTTTCCTTTCCTGCCAAGAGGCCATTCTGAATTAATGATAACTGTCGAAATCAGTTCAGCCGTTCTCGACATATATGAGATCTTTCAAGCATATCTTCTTTGATAGACATATATATCGCATATATTAGATTTTTTGGATCTTAACATCAATGTAAAGATCAGAAGTAACCTTGTCATGGCTTTGAGATTTCGCCGGGATTTAAACTATTCGCGGTTTAATGAAAAATTTTGAATTTTTCAACAAAAAAGATATGGTCTATTTTACCCGCTAAATATTATCCGATGACCACCCAAATTGGTAGGCTTCTTCCCCGCCCTAAACTCTAGCTACATGCGAAATTCCGCGTCGATTGGTCTATAATTGCGACCTGTATAGCTACTGCAAAATCCGACATTTTTTCAGTATTTGGTCCATTTCAACCCCTAAACATATGGCGATCATCTCCAAAAGAAATAGGGTTCTATTCTGACCCTAGCCCCACCTCCATTCTAAATTTCGTGAAGATCGAGCCATAATTGTGACCTCTAGAGTGATTACAAATTAACATGGACAGACGGACAGACGGACAGACGGACGGACGGACATACATAGCTAGATCGACTCAGCTCGGCGAGCTAGGAAGATTCATATATACTTTCCTATGTGGGAAATCAATATTTCGTGGTGTTACATAATTTTTGGCCCAATCAAACTTATAATACCCCCAACACATAGTGTTGTAGGGTATAAAAACCTTTTTATTGACTCGATTGAAAAACAATTTTGTTTAAATTTGTTTGTTCTGGAATATTGCTTAAAAGCACGGACTCCGAGGAACCATAATCCGAAAATTGCCAAGGAGTATAGAAGAGGGGGAACTTGCCCCCTCTATTTCCATTACTTTTCGATGTAAACTTTCAAGACACCCATACAAATGTTTTCTTTTTTATTTCTACTCTCATAATCTGCTGAATTTTTCCCAAAATTATTGAAACAAACGAATTTTGTTGCACAAAAATTCGACCCTCTGGGGGGGGGGGGGGGTACTGGAAGGATTCGACCGATTTTTCCCATGTTCCCACCTGACCTTGCACTGATACAACTATTAGTATTTGTAAGGGTAAATTATTTTCGGTGGAAATTTTCCCTTTTGTGGGGGAGGTACCAGAAGGAGTACACCCATATATTCCTTCTTCACACCAGATCTTGTGTTAGTAAAAATATTGGGTTGTGTAAAATTCAAAGAGAATCGGAAATTTATTTAGGATTTTATGAGCGTTTTGGTTATTCAAAATTTTGACCCTTTTGTCGGAGAGCTACTGGAAGGAGTGGTCATATTTATTTCATCTTTACAGCTCATCTTGAGTTAATAAAAATATTGAGATGTGCAGAGTTTGAAAGTGATCGGATGCTCGTTTTGCATTTTATCAGCTTCATGGCTATTCAAAATTTAGACCCTATTTGTGGGGGAGGTACCAGAAGGAGTAGACCGATATATGCCATTTTCACAACTTATCTCGTGTTAGTGGAAATATTGAGATGTGTCGAGTTGGAAAGTGATCGAATGCTTATTTTGCATTTTGTGAGCGTTTTGGTTATTCAAAATTCGACCCCTTTTTTATTTAAATTTCGAGTTTTACTTTTTTTTTTTTTGAAATCCTAGCTCTTAAAATTTTTTTATTTATTTTTTTCTTTTTTGTCCTTTATTAACTTGATATCTTCTCTCTCTCTCTCTCTTTTTTCCTTCCAGGCCGAAATGCATTTGGACCACTCAATAATTGTGTCATCAATGGGCCTGCCACCGCCACCCCATCAGCCGCTGCCACCCAGCATGGTTAAGCATCGTGGCGATCAGCTGGACATTCCATCAACGAAAAAGACCAAAGCTTTAGATGAGGCTGCCGCCTATCAGCTGGAGTATCAACACTACCAATCGCTGGTCTATGCCCACTGTGCCCAGCAACAGCGTATGGCAGCGGCCGGACAAATGTCTGCCTTCCGGCCGTGGCCTCAACCGAAAAATTTTATGCATGCAGCGGCATATAATGCCGCAGCAGTGGCAGCTCTATCAACGCTCCCATATCTGAGTCAAGAGCCACCAGTCCTCCAGAATCCCGAACGTGTTGTACGCAGTACAGATCGTGAGCGTTTCGAGAGAACGTATCAACCGAACGTGGCGTTGGCACCGCGAAAGACACACTTGGCGCAGGAGCGTGAGAAAGAACAGCGGGAGATGCGTGAACGTGAGCGTATGGAGAGGGAGATAGAATTAGAACGTGAACGTATGCGTGAGAGAGAACGGGAACGTTCGCGAGAGCGTGAGAGAGAATATGAACGTGAACTGAGAGAAAGAAAATTACAGCAACAAATCAAACAACAACAGCAGCAGCAACAACAACAACAACCACAACAACAACCCCCCCAAACCCAGGTTTCCAGTTTGTGTGATGTGGCGCCCGATATCCAAATAAAACAGGAGCGAGCCGCCACACCCACTGAAATGAGTAGCAGTAGTCCCACAGCCACACCCCCGCCCCTTAACAACAACAACAACAGCAGCAGTCATCATCATCAGCAAACGCACCACCATCCCCTGGTGGATGATGAAAGACGCAGCAATAGTTCTGGTAGCTGTCCTCCACCAAATCCACGACCGCCTTCCGAAAATCTGGATGGAGATGAGGCCAGTGCCGCCTGCAATCCATTGATGTCCCCCTTGGCCCTGAATCGTTCCAAGGCCCATCTGGCACATTTGGATCAGGCCAGACGTTTGTCGCTGCAAAACTCCTCTTCCTCCTCCAGTTCATCGTCTTCGTCATCATCGTTGTCTGCCTCCTCCACAACGGCCACAGCCATTGCCAACAATGCCACCACTCCACCTGCCCCGAAATTGCCACAACAGCACATGACGTCATCGGCGGCGGCGGGGGGTAGATTGGGTAACTCTTCCGCCACCTTGTCGTCGTCGTCTTCCTCGTCAGCGTCCGCGGCGACCCAAAGCTATCTGAGACAATCACCTTCGCCAAATCGGCGCTGTAACAGTGCCTCTTGTACAAATTCTCGTAGTCCCGAGGAGTTTGGAGGTTCCAATGAGATAACCTCCTCCACCTCACCCATGCCTCAGCAGCAGCATCATAATGCACAAAACATAATTGCCACAGTTAACCATCACAGCAAATTGCTGCCCTCTTCGTCGTCGACGACATATGGTGGCAGCACTCATCCGAGCAATAGTGGCGCCCAACTGATGAACCACAACGAAATGCCAGGTCGCATACGCATAAGTAAAAATCTATTGAATCAAAATAATATTCTGCGCTCCCCCACACCGCCAATGCATATGCAGGGCCACCAGTTGGCAGGGGCGGGATCGCATCACCAGCACCTGCACCATCACCACCACCCACACCAACAACAACAGCAGCAGTTTGATTACTACAAACATAATGCCCGCTTCTATGGAACACCTCCACAACACCCGCCACCCCAGAGGCAATGCCATCCAAGTCCACAACCTCCACAGCCAGCCTCATCTCACCAGCATAATTCACCATCACAGTCTTCCAATGCCAGCCCAGCTGCAGCAAGCGGACTGCCCGCAACCGCAGGTGGTCTAAATCTGACCACAAATGCAACAAGCAGCAGGGCCAATGCCATGGCATCACCGGCCAGCCAAGACAATAACCAGAATTGCATTAAACCTCCAACGCAGCAGCAGCACCATCAACAGCATCACCACATGCGAATGTCGGGCCAAATGGGAACGGCATTTATGGCGCAACACTCACATCTTGGCCAACATCCAATGCAACAACACCCCTCCTCCCATCTGGCCAATGGCCGTCGCCTGCCTGCATTACCGACAATGAATTCGGAATTCGAATTGTCCACAGACACCGATGACGAAAGTGTCAACGATGGTGAGCCGGATAGCAGCAACACGTTGACCCCCTGGGAATTGGCCATTGAGGCATTGCGTGACTCACGACCCAAGGAGAGGGATCGCTTGCTGAACATGCTGCAGCGCATGCTCAACGAGAATCAGCACTATCGCCTGCAGAATCAACAGCTCAAGGAGTTGATTGTGGAGCGTAATGAGCAGATCAGTAAATTGCAAAATGAACTGCAGCTATGCCAGAGGCAATTGAGTTTGCTGCAATTGGGTGGTCAGCCGGCGAGCGCAGTTGGCAACTCCGGCAGCAGTAATGGCCTGATAACCAAAGCTCTACGCAAGGAGACCAACGATGATCAGTTAATGTTGAGAGTGCCGTTGAAAAAGTCTCAGCGTCGAGAGCCGGGAAGCTTTGAGAGCGAAGAACAAGAGCGTAGCTTTAGTAGGGAGGGAAATACGGACAGGGAGCAGGAGGAGAAGGAAAACAGCTTCCCTTCAACTTGCCTAAAAGAAATCAAGCGGGAACTTAGTGAATCCATGGAGGAAGATGAAGAGGAGGAGCAGGAGAGAGAAGATGAGAATAATGACAAAGAGAGCCAAAGACAAATGATCAGTCCAACTCCGAATGGCAACTCCGGGGAGGACCATGGGGAGAGTTCTCACTCGCAGGAGAGAAGAGAACACCTGGAAAGACATAAATCGAAAGAAAGTGATTCCGAGTCCGAACATGACATGGAGGAAAGGTCTCAAAAAGGATCTCCAAGTTTGAGGAAACGGTCCCAAAGCTCGGATAGCCTAAAACGCCGGCTTAGCTTTCAACCCAACGCCAATGGCAGTGAGGATGAAGATGAGGGTGAAGACTCCCAGCATCACAGAGGGAAACGTTTGCTAAGGGAACCCAAAGAGGAGGAGGAAGAAGAAGAGACCCAAGAGGAGGCAGAGCACTCAGAGGACAGTGATAGGGAGGAAAATACCCATGAAGAAAGGGAGAGGGAGGACGAAGATGATGATGACGAAGACGAAGACGACGAAGAGGAGCCAAGTCAACACAAACGGGTGCAGGCCCCACACAGCAATGCCCTTAGTACACCACCCACAGCCACCACACCCCTCTCCCCCGACTCTGCTGCCACTGCAGGCCAGTTATTTGACAGCAGCAACAGTAGTGATGAGTCCTCCATGAAAAAAGCTCAAATGTCGGCCTCAAATGCCTTGGCCAAAATGAATGCCGAGACCAATGATGGTGAGGAGGATGAAGAGGAAGATGAGGAGGAGGAGGAGACGGCGGAAGAGAGGACAGGAAATGAGAGGAGATCTAAAGAAATCAAAAAACACAAAACCAGAGACAGTGATGAGGAAGAGGAGGGGGAGGAGGAAAACGGAAACGATGAAGAAGAGGAAGCCGAAGATGAGGAAGACCACTCCCAAAGCTCTCTGCCACAACGACGACGAGGTGCACGAGGAGATGGAGGCAGAAGAAGACGAAGAGATAGCTCCGATAATGATGAAGAATTAAGTTTCCATTTGGAAAAGTCATCATCGAACACACCAACAACAACTTCCAATCATTTACATAGCAACAACAACAACAACTCCACTACCACGGTTGTGCTGGCCACCAAGGCTAGCAAAAAATTAACTCCAACAACGAATAATGATATAAAAATCAAACAGGAATATCTATAATATAATAATAATAATTATAATATTACAACAAAAACAACAACAACCACAAACTGAAAATGTGCCGATATATATGTATGTGTGTTATATTTTTTATAGGAAAATAAGCTCCTCTCATCTTGCATCGTACTCCCACACACACATAGACACAAAACCAAACACTCTCTGTCCCCATCTCTCGCTCTCTCTCTCTCCCTCTCTTTATTAGCACAGGACAACAAGAAATAACAATTTTTTTAAAACACAGCAAATAGATGAAGACAAGCTTTTGAAAAGAACTTTTTAGATTTCTAAGTTGTGTAACACAAAGAAAAAGCTTTAGACTTTTAAGCTTTAATTTCATTTTTCAAATTTTTCTCAAGAAAAAATGTATTTTTTAAATTTTCCTAAAAGGAAAAATATAACCAAAAGCTCCCTCCATTAGCCTTTCTATCACTCTCTCTCTCCTTCTTTCTTTTTGTATAAAACGTTTACTCTGGTTTTTGTTAGGACATGCTTTAAAGCTTTGCTTTTGCCAAAGCTTTTGCTAATCTTTTACAGAAAAAAAAACTAAGGAGAGGATCAAAATAATTTGAGTTTCTCTCTCTCCCTTCTCTCTGATAGGTTGAATCATTTGTTCTAATTTCTTAGACATTTAAGTACAAAATACAAATTGAAATTGTTAAAAAAATAAACAAAATAACAAAACAGACAACAACAACAACAACAAAAAACAACATTTGTTTACAAAACAAACAAAAAAAAGCTCTTTATATAATATTTATAACAAAAATATTTATAGAAAAAAAAATAAAAATAATAATAAAAATTAAAAATAAACAAAAATTCTGTAAATTATTTATTTAAAATTAAAAACAAATACAAAAAAAATAGTTAAAAGAAATATATACTATAAATATAAATATATAGTCATCTGTGAGATTCAAAAACAAAACAAAAAACATATAATATTTAAACAAACTTGTAAAATTTATTTGAGTTTTAAAAACTTATACAAAAAACAAAACAAATATTAAATTAACAAAGAAAAGCCTCCCTCTTTCCCTCCCATTCTTTAGAATTAACAAAAAAAAAAACAAACAAACAAATATATAAATAAAATACAACAACTAAAATACCAAAACAAATTCTTTAGTTGGAAACATAAACTTTCGAAACAAAAAAAATAAAAAAGCTTAAAAGCTTTATATCCAAATTCAAAATAAATAAATAAATGACATTAAATTTTAAGACAATTAACAACAACAACAACAAGACGGTTTTTTGCATAATAATCCAATCGATATTGGAAAAAACAAAACCATTTTCAAAACTTTGTATACTTAAAAAAAGCTCTCCCCCCATAACACAAAATTCATTCATTATCTTCCAAAAAAAAAAAAACATTATTTCTGTTTTTTTGAAATAAAAATTAAAGGAAATGTGATTTAAATTCAAAATTAATTTTAATTGATTTTCGTTAAATTGTGTTAATTTACGTTATACGTTGCGAAAAAAGAGCTTAAAGCTTTTTTTTTTAATAACTTATTCCCAAATCCAAAAAATAATACATTATTTGGGAAATTTTTGTTATCTTACCTCGGTCTTACACGTTTTTCTGCATAAAGCTTCGAAAGCTTAAGCTTTTCTGTAAAAGTTCTCCAAATCCAGAAAATAAATTATATTTTTAAACTTATGTTATCAACTATTGTAAGCATTAAATTAGAAAGATTGCAAAATGTTAAAGCTTTCTGAGTTGTAAAGCTTAAAGGAAAGATTAAAGCTCCCTGAGTTTATAAAGTATATTTTCGTTTGGTAATTTGTTTTCCAAATTCAGAAAAAATTATTTGAGCTTTGAAAGCTTTGTAAAATGTAAAATTTTTTCGGGTTTATTATTATTTTTTTTAATTATGTGTTTTCTCCTTTTTACCAAGGCTTACGTCAGACACTGAATTATATGATGGAAAATTTGCAGAACTTCGGGAGATCAAAGAGTACTTTGTGAGACCATTCACGATCTTCCTGGTTTTACTTCCATTAAAGCTTTTTTTTAAAAGCTCTTTTTAATTTAAAAGCTCTGTTTTTTATCCAAAAGATTAGTTTGAAACCCTTCGGAAGATCAAGGAGTATTTTGTCAGAGCTTAAATCTCTCTAACGAAGTTCTACGGTAATATTTGTTATCTGTCACAATCTCCCTGGTTCAGCTTTCATGAAGTTTTGAAGTTTTTTTTTTAATTTAAAAGCTCTGTTTTTAAATCCAAAACATTATTTTTTTTTTTTTGTTGCCTTTCTCCTTATTCCAACTTGTATAGCATTAAGCTTTGAAAGCTTTTTAATTTTTTACAAATTATTTGTTCTCGTTTTCTTATCAACTCTTACGGCTGACACTGAAATATTTCATCTAAAATTTGAAGTCCTTGAAATATTAAGGAGAATTTTGTCAGAGCTTAAAGCTCTCTAAAGTAATTCTTCGGTAATATTTGTTATCTTTCAGAATCTTCGAGGTTTTATTTTTATTTAACTTTGGAAGCTTTTTTTAAAATGTAAAAGTTCTACAATTTTTTTCTTTCGAAATCCAAAACATATTTATTACCTTTCTCGTTATTCCAAACTCGTATAGCATTAAGCTTTGAAAGCTTTTTAAGTGTTTGTAAAAGTTAATTTTGTCCCTGTTTCTCCAGGCTTTGTTTGCATCGAGCTTTGAAAGCTTTTTAAATATAAAAGCTTTGTTTCACAGTCAGAAATTTGCCTAAATATTTTATTTTTGTTATCGTTCCCTTTGTTCCAAAATCGTAAAGCATTGAGCTTTAAAAGCTATTTAACCTTTTTAAAAATTATGTGTTTGTATTCCAAGTATAACGTCAGAATATTTCATAAAAAATTAAGTTTTTTGGGTGTTTGTATTCCAAGTATAACGTCAGAATATTTCATAAAAAATTAAGTTTTTTGGGTGATCAGATTTGATGAGAGCTTAAAGCTTTTTTGGAGAAAATCTCAAATTCTTTTCAAACCCAACAAATAATATTGTTTGATTTTAAACCCATAAAATAATATATATGTTTTTTTAGTTGTTGCTACTTTCCTCCATATTCCATATTTGTAAATCATTAAGCTTTCAAAGCTTTATCGGGTGCTAAATTCTTCAGAGCTTTTTAAAACATTTTAAGAGCAAAAAGAATATTTTGGGATTTTTATACTTCCTTTTGCGTAAAGTTTAAAAGCTCTAGCTTATTTATAAAAGCTCTGAAAACATCTTTTCCAAAACCGAAAATAATACCTTTTATTTTTGTAATCATTCTCGTTATTCCAAACTTGTTTAACATAAAACTTTGAAAGCTTTTAAAATAATATAAAAGCTTTTTGATCTTTTTGAACCCCTGTTAACAATTTTTCAATTTTGTCCACAAATTAGTTTTGTTTTTATTTTCTTACAAATTCTAAAGTATTTCATTTTTTTTTAATTTGTCCAAGAGAGGGAGCTCATCTTAAAAATCTTTTTTTCCTCTCTAACTTCTCATCAAAAAATCTAAAAATTCCTGATGACATTTTTCAGTGTCTGGCGTAAGGCAAACTTACTCGTCCTCGTTTTTTTTTCAATGTTGGTATTGTGTGTTTTTCCCTTTGTGGTATTTCATGAGCTTTTTCAAAAGCTTTCATTCTTAGCGATTTTTTCATCAATTATGTAGGGTTGCAATTTTTATGGAAATTTTTTTATGGAAACCAAACCGATTGTGCATGGAAAATTTATTATTATGTAGGGTTAGAATTTTTTTATGGAAACCAAACCGATTGTGTATGGAAATTTTAATAAGCCAAAATTTCGTAGGGAGCTTAAATTCGATCTCGTTAGAAAGCTTTATCATGAGCTTTCATTCAAGACGATTATATAAAAAAATATTTTTATGGGACTTACATTAATTTTATATCAAATTTTGGAAGGATTAGGAAGCAACAGAACTACTTTCTATGAGGAACTCCCAGAACTGGGGGACCTCAAATAGGTCTGATGTATATACGAGGTTTGTTAAAAGAATATCGGGGACACCCTGTAGGAATGTGTCAACAAAATTTCACATTTCAACTGACTTTTGGACCGAACTTGGACAGTTGGGTTTGCTGGGTAGTCATTCAAGGCAAAATATAATTGTGTGCCCTCTTTCTCGAGATTTTTAACCTTTGACCCTGAACTTTAAATAATTAAAAATACATTTTAAAACCGAAAAAATCACAAACTAAAATGTGCCAATTCGAAATGTAATTAGCAAAATTTTAAAGAAAAATAAATTAATTTTAACAACTTTTAACATAATTTTTATTTAAAAAAAATACATTTTAATAATAATATTTATATATTTAAGAAATTCGCAGCACCCACCTTTTTTGTTTCTCAAAATGAGAATGAAAAGCTAAAGGAATTTTTGTTTATCTATGGGTTATTTTTTTATTATTTGTTTACATTTATTTCTCTATATAGAAATCATAATTGAAACCAAAGCTTTAAATTTAATTAAATGAAAATTAAAAAAAAAACATTTGTTTTTTGTTCAAATTACAAAAGGAAAACATTAAAATAATTTTCTTAAAAAATAAATAGTGTAAATATTTCTTTCAAAACATAAGAAATTAGATTTAATTTCTTTGTAGAGTTTTTTTATAATTAAAACTAAAACATAAACACAGAATAAAAACTAATTTTTAAGTGAGGCTTAATAATTAGTAAATTTCTAATATTTTTTTTAAATTTAATAAAAATTACATAACGATTTCTATATGCAGCAAAGCTTTAAGTTTGTTTGGAAATTTACAAGTAACAAAAAAAAACAATTTGAATTTTAAATATTTTTTTTGTTTAATTTTAATATTCAAAAAAATACATATTTTTATTAAGTTAATAAAATATATATATATTTATATAAATAAATATAATAAATAAATAAATATATATATTTATATTTTTAAGTTATCGACAAACCCACCAGTAATTTATTTTGTGTATATGATTTTTTTAAATAACTTTTTTTTATGTTTTTCGTTTCTTTTCAACATTGTTTTTTCTTAAATTTAAAGTATTATTCAGGAAATAAAAACATCACAACAATGTTTTTAATTATAATGATTAATACTAAATACTTTATTCTTTTTTTCTTAATTCTTTTAACATATTAAGTCTATAGTTTAAGCTCAAAATAATTTGTATTTCATTTATCACAATATTTTCTTCTTTTTTTATTTTTGGTTTAATTTTTTTTTGTTTTGTTTTTTCTCTACCATGTAAATAATTCTTATTTAGTTTAGTTAATTTTAAGTTGAATTGTCATGTTTTTTTCTAAAACAAAAAAAGAAAACAAATTCACTAAATAGAGATTTTGAAAATTAAAAAAAATACTGTGTTTTTATTTTATTTTTATTTTCGATTTTTAAAAGGGCGACTCGATAGCAACCATATATATAAGAAACCAAAACATTATGCCAAAATGTGGCGTGACGTGCCATAAGAATTACTTTACTTAAATTCAAAATTTTGTGGACTAGAATTTTGAGAGGCTCTTTCATATATTTTTTTTTTTTGTATATTTTCCGTGGCGTCTGCTTAATACATTTCCCATTTTATGTAAATAAAATGTATGGAATCTTTCAAAAAGCAAATGACTTGGTCGAGCATTTTTGGCAAAACTAGGCCCATTAAAGCATTTATTTTCTTAAATGCTAGGCTAATTTATCCCTGAAGAAAGTCCATAAAATCCCTTTAGATTTTCGG